TGAGTATGCTTCAGTCACAGTCCTGGCACTAGCATGCTGTGAATGAGTGTCCAAAAAGTGTCAGGACTACTTATCTCTATACTTGAGAATTGAGACAAGACTGCCCCAAAAAAAAAGTAGGTGAAAGACGGAAGAGGTGCCCAGGTGGAAGAGATGAAATGATCGTGTTTCTTCAATTTAGACTTTTATTCCATGAAACACACATAACTATCACAGTCTCAACACGTTTTGTGGCTCTAAGACGGCCACTTCTTCAGGAGGGTGTGATGAGACACTTTAAGCAGAGTGGTAGCGTCTCCCAGCGTGTGTAAACCCTGGTAATGGGGTTTAAAGCTCTCTACATGCATTGATGACAGGTGGTGGCTGAAGGGGATCCAATTCTTTACTGGCTAATTAGCTTACTGCTTTCTACCTTGGACCAAGAAGTGGTCAATAGGAAGATATTCTTCTCTAGGTGGGATGTGCAGGAAAGGAAAATGTAAAATACATTTTGATCAGGGCTATTTTATACCAATTCTATGTTCTGCCCTTTAATGATTAATTCACTGTTAATGCTCAAAGTCATCCCAGTCAAAGCTTACGCAGGGTTGAGAACTCTCATTGCCACACATGCCAGCCCTGGGCCAATCGCCAAGCATGGGCACTGTCACATGGAGTGAGGCATGTGCTCCTCCATACCTGGAAGCAATATGAATTTGCTTTGTTCTCTGCAATAGGTAGAATTACGTGAGTTTCATTCTGCCCACAGAGGACTGCCAGTGCTGGATCGAGGATGAAGCTGGGAACAGAACTGAAGGAAGCAGTAGGTAAATATTAATTGGAGATAACATTTTAAAGGGGATTCAAAATATTAATTAACAACTGTTTGGAATTGGATTTATCTAACCATTGATCTCAGATTTTCCCACAACTGAGAGTTTGATCTCAGGAACACAGAGTAAAATAATTAAAAAAATATATTACATTTAAAAAAAAAATATTCTCTATAAGATCACAGATTTGTGTGACCCCTTTGGGCATCTGACAACGCCTACTTAGGTCCAGCATTAGTATAGTATAGGCATCGGTGGAGCATCTCCTCATTTCTTTTTAGCTGTGTGCATGAGACATTGCTTCCAATGACCACTAAGTTAAGGGGCATTGTTCCCAGTGACAACAATGTGTGGAGCATTTTCCTTCCTACTGACAACTAATGTAAGGGGATCACTTTTTGGCTGACCACTTATGTAAGGGGCATCTTTCCCAGTAACCACTAATGTAATGGGGCCCTTCTTTCACTGACTCCACTGATCACTCATGTAAGGGGCATTGCTCTAACTGATCACCAATTTAAGGGGCCCTGCTTTCACTGACCCAAATGTTAGTGGGCCCTTCTTTCACTGACCCAAATGTAAGGGGGCCCTTCTTTCACCGACCCCAATGTAAGGGGGCCCTTATTTCACTGAACCCAATGTAAGGAGGCCTTTCTCCATTGACCACTAAAGTAAGTGGCATTAATTCAACTGCCCATCAATGTAAGGGGGTCTTCTTCTACTGACCCCAATGTATGGGACCACTTCTCCACTGAGCACTAATGTAAGGAGCATTTTTCCCACTGACCAACATTTTCTGGGGACCCATCTTCCACTGCCCACCAGTGTAAGGGGGCCTTCTTTTACTGACCTAAATGTGAGGGGGGGGGTGTCTTCTTTCAACAACCCCGAAATAAGGGGTCCTTTTCCATTGACCACTAATATAAGTGGCATTCATGCCGCTGCCCACCAATGCAAGAGGGCCCTTGTTTCACTGACCCCCAATGTAAGGAGACCCTTCTTCCACTGAACCCTATGGAAGGGAGCCCCACTTCACTGACTGCTGATGTAAGGAGCATTCCTGTCACTGATCACAAATGCAAGGGACATTCTTCACATCGATAACCAACGTAAGGGGCATCCTTTCCACTAACCACCAATGTAAAAAACATTTTTCCCACTGACTAGCAATATGAAAGACATTCTTTCCAAAGACCAGCAATGCATGATCATTCTTCTCACTGACCAGCAATGTCAGGGCCAGTCTATCCATTTTGCACCACCGTAAGGGACATTCTTCCCCACTTCTCCAATGACCACCAAACCAAAGGGCACTTCTCAAATGAATATAAGAAAAATTCTTCCCACTGGCCAACAAATTAAGAAGAAAGTACCATTTTAACTGTCTGTTCCATTTCTAAATTTATATTATTATAATTGGTTTCCTTTTTAATTACAGAAAACAATTTTGTTGCATAGAGAAGGGAGGTGTTAAAAATGATCTAAATATACCATTGGGTGCAAGGCCATTGATATTTGGTGATTATAGAGCCAACCTACACTGAGCTGTAGAAATAATAATTGTTGCGTAGAAGTTCATTGACACCTCAACACGATTGCAAGGGTTCTCCCAGGTTAGAAAGCCTGATAAAAACAGTTTTTCAGTGACCATTTATGGGATAATATTCATGACTTCCAGTACGAGTCCGTTGCTGAGCAATGATGGCTACTTACGATTGCAGAAAGCGTTTGTTATTTAATGCCAGGTTGTTTTTAACTTGTCTGAGATCATTCAGTAGTGATTCCCTTTTCTCCATAGACAAGGGAATGGTTACCTTACCATGTATACACCACTTTGTAGCAGTGATGGGGCCATGTGAACGCATCACTTACTACAAGCCATTTGAATGAAATATCTGTCCCTGTGGAGTAGAATCAATTTGGTCATTGTATTTTTCTTTTATTGTAAATTAATTTAATTGCATTTATATAATATATATGTGTGTGTGTGTGTGTGTGTGTGTGTGTGTGTGTGTGTGTAACGGAGACACGCACGCACATACGTGCAAACATACGCACGCACACACCACTAAAGCTACAGTATAAAAGGCTAATGCTTATTTCCATATATTAATACAAAGTGCAAATGAAATGACAACTGATGGCAACCTATAAAGGAGAGAATTATGACCTTAAACTATACAGCATAAAATTATTATTGTAGAAGGTGATTCCAGGACACAGAAATTGTTAATGTTTGCAGCAAGACTAAATAGACATGATCATTAATAACTGTATAAAATATGATGATTTAGGAACAGGAAGGAATTATGTGCTTAGGTTCACACAGTATGAGGTACCTGGAGAAAATGCTCCATATTTCATCCTGCATAAGACACCGGCCCTTTCTCAGCTTATATAAAACAGGGATATCAGGTGATCTCGGACTTTGGTGCTGGGAGATACCATGGTGGTGGGATTTGTGGTGAAGCCACTGCAGGTATATTCTCCACTGTCTCCAGCACATCCACATTATTGCAATCCCTCAATCATCATCAGCCGCTCGGTGCTGTTTGTGCAGTACTTGCAAGGCTTCTAGGTAACCACTTGCAGTCTTATTAAATGATTTGTGTTTCTAATGGGAGTTATAAAATGTGTCAGGTTAACATTTCAATGGCTCCTAAAATCTTTAAAGAACAAAATGACAAAGGAAGGAGAACAGGGATGCAGTATGCATCACACACACTGCAAATAGCCACTCAAACCATGTAGCCCTCATCATATAATAATACATTTTGTACAGAGATGATTATGGGTATACGTCATGGGAAATGGTAAACTCTGCCTGATGTTTTAATGTTCTCCCCGTGTTTTGCCCCAGTTTCCTCTGAGTTCTGCAATTTCCTCCTATAGTCAGCTTGTATAAATCTTGGATACCTGTGTGCCTTTAACCAGCAGGCTCATTAGATTGCAAGCTTTGGTGCAGAGAATTGTGTATTCTGTAAGGAACTGCACATTTTAGATTTGGTATATCAATGAATACGCAGAGTAATATAATAGATCAATATATTATAGAACAAATAATATTTATTGGGTTACTGGGGTTGGGACATTCGACTGTAAGCTCCTGTGGGGCATGGACTCATGATTTTTTGTAGCATGTAAAAGTCTATGGTATGTGTTGGTGTTAAAATAATGTACCCATACATTGTCCGTGTAAAGCAAATATTTTCTCAATAATGGCAACTTGTGTTGTGTCTTTTTTTCAAACATGTCTAACTGTGTAACTAAATAAGTCAATTGAGTTCAACTTATAGTGTTCTTTAACCAAATTGGCAATGCATGCAGGCTAACCACATTTTTCTTCTGGCAGTACAAACTCATCCCTTTTCTTGCCTGGGTCACACATTGTCCAGCCTGCTAAGGACTCTCTGACCATTTCCAAAGATTATCACCACTCTATAACGCTTGTTATATAATTATATAACATATTGGGCATATACAGCAGCCAATTACACAACAAGTAATCAGAATTGTAACACTGAGTACTGTAGGTGTACTGACACATAAACAGGCTTATTTAACAAGGCAATTGAGGAAGCAATGAAGGAAGCAGCGACCTACAGCAACCAATCTATCATTTTAGAGCAAAGAGAACAATGAAAGCTAATATTTGATTGGCTGCTGTGGCTTTCAACACTTTGCACATTGCCCTTTGCCTAATCAAATCTACAGATGCTGGTCACTATACAATACTTTGGTGCTGGGCTAATGTTAGCACATCTGAAGGTAATAACTGGTCTAATGCAAATGTGTGATTCTTCCAGCTTTGGTGTCAAAAAATGATGTGCTATCTGATGTGCAATTATTACCCCCCTTCCTTTTCCAAGCGACAGTTTATATCCTATTTATGGGTGAATTTACACTAGTTTTGCGAGTTTAGATAATTCCAAAAATTGTTTAGTAAATATTTACACACTGATCTCTAATTGACACATAATTGCAGCCTTGACTAATGTAATTGACAAGCAGTGATTTATTCAGCGGATCAGTGATTGCACAGTCTGGGTTATACCTGCTATACTGTCTTGTAGCCACATGTTACAATATATTTGCTACTGTGAATTATTTATAAATGCACATAAACAATGTGTACTAATAGGGAATAAGACACAGGAGGAGTGATGGCAGCCTGGAAGTGCCACTTACCTGTACCAGTCCAGTCCCCTCTCGTAGTTCCTATCAAAGAAGTGGGGTTCGGTGCCCATAGCTCGCACCTCTGGGTGCACCCTAATGAATTCCAGTACTGCCCTGGTGCCTCCTTTTTTAACCCCCACGATGATTGCTTGTGGAAGTCTCTTGTGCCCGTACCGGAGGGCAGTGGTGCTGTTGCCAGGGGGGGGAGTATGGAGCTCGCTGGGTTTTGGAGGGGTGCTTGTTATCTGTGAAGGTTCCGTGTGATTCCTGCCAGTCCACTCAGTGTAAGGTATGTCAGTGCTGAGTGAGGTTGCAGTAGCTCCGGAGGGTTGGCAGAGGGGCATCTTCTGCAGGAGTTTCTTGCCCCCCAGTATAGGAGGGTAAGGTGGACAGCTGAGTTGCTGGTAGCCCCGGCTGTGCATGCTGGAGTGTCCCCGGAGGACCAGGTTGTAGCAGAGGAGGGTGCAGGACAGGCAAAGGGTGCATAGGAAGAGGTATCTCCTTGCCCTTCGGGGGCTCACTCTGGGTGCCATGACTCCATGTACAGGGGCCACATCGTGGCCCCTCCGGGCTCCTGCATGTGTGACTGTCCCGGTGAAGCTGCAGGCAGAGCCCGGCACAGATGCCTGGCACACCCCCTCTGTCTGAGATCAGCTGCTGAGGGAGGGCTCTCCGGATCCCCCCACCCCGCTCCTACAATGGGTCAGATACACAGCGCTGGGTCCCGTGCACATCACAGAGGGCACCCCACGTATGTTCATTTCCGATATATTACAGAGCGAAGCCCAGATGTGTGCCCAGCCTGGTATATCACACAGAGAGGACCCCAGATCTGTGCCCCATCCTGCTATATCACAGAAGACCCCCGATCTGTGCTCCAGCCTGGTATATCACGCAGAGCGAACCCCAGATCTGTCCCCTGCCTGGTATATCACGCAGAGCGAACCCCAGATCTGTGTCCTGCCTGGTATATCACGCAGAGCGAACCCCAGATCTGTGTCCTGCCTGGTATATCACGCAAAGCGGACCCCAGATCTGTGTCCTGCCTGGTATCACGCAAAGCGGACCCCAGATCTGTGTCCTGCCTGGTATACCACGCAGAGCGAACCCCAGATCTGTGCCCTGCCTGGTATATCACGCAGAGCGAACCCCAGATCTGTCCCCTGCCTGGTATATCACGCAGAGCGAACCCCAGATCTGTGCCCTGCCTGGTATATCACGCAGAGCGAACCCCAGATCTGTGTCCTGCCTGGTATATCACGCAAAGCGGACCCCAGATCTGTGTCCTGCCTGGTATCACGCAGAGCGAACCCCAGATCTGTGTCCTGCCTGGTATATCACGCAGAGCAAACTCCAGATCTGTGCCCTGCCTAGTATAATAAACAGAGTGACCTTAGATCTGTGCCCTGCCTGATATGTCACACAAAAAGAGGGGACCTCTGATCTGTACCCTGCTTGGTAATGGTATATCATACAGAGTGGTCCCCAGATCTGTGCCCTGCCTGACATATCACACAGCTGAACCTAAGGATAACACTTGTTATCACAGAGGGGACCCCAGATCACACAGACACAGGACATTCCACAGAACTGACCCTAGATCCATCACCTGCCTATAGCACATCACATAGACCTGACTCCGGATCTGTGCCCTGCCAGGCATATTTTGCAGAGCTGACCCCAAACCTGTCACCTGCCTGGCTTATCATACTGAGCTGACCCCAGATTTGTCACCTGCCTGGCACATCGCAGACCTGACCCCAAGTCTATCCTCTTCTTTGTAAACCACCCAGAACTGATCTATATCCTCTGCTTGACACATCACACAGACCTGATCTGTCCTTTATTGGTCACCTCACACAGAGCTGTTTCCAGATCTGTCCCTTGTCCAGCACGCAGCTAACCCCAGATTTGTGCCATCCAATGCACTCAGCACTGTAATCCTAGAGACCTCTCTGACTTCAGGCAGTTATTACCTGGAAATCTGCTATTCTTAATCACCTTGTAAACCAGATGACTTGTGCACTTATGTAAGAGCCTTTTCCTGTCTTCATCCTGTGTGTCATTCAGTACCAATGTAACAACATGAGCACATATCCATCATAGGGCCCTAAAAGAACATTTAAAATGACTCACTGCTTGTTCCTTATCTGATTGCCTGTCCTCCTTGTTCTTATTCTTCCGCCTCTTTCTATATTTCACTTTTCTTCCCCATCTCCCCTCTTCTCCCCTATCTTTTTATTTTATTTCCATATGTTCCTCATTAAAACTCCTCAATTTATTACTTTCTTTTATACAATTTCCTCTCTACATTCTCTCTTTACACTATTCTTCTTATCCTATATATATATATATATCTGTAATTGTGCATTGTGTTTCTTCTTCACCTTCTCTCCCCCTTTTTAAGCTTCTCTCTCTTCTGCTCTCACTCTTCCCTCCATTTTCTTCCTCTCTCCTTTTTCCTGTCTGTCTCAACTCTCTTCATGTTTTCCTTCCCTTCCTTTCCCACTCTTTCTCGTATTTACCTTCTCTTTATTTGTCTTTCTGTCATTTCTTATTATGTTTGTCAGCTCTCTTTTTCCTCTGTCCCCTCTTTTCTTCTCCTCTCTATCTTCACTCCTCGTTTTCCTTCCCTTCCTCTCCCCCCCTCTCTTATTTACTTTCCCTTCTCTCTTTATTTGTCTCTCTCCCCTTCCTACTTATGTTCCTCTCCTCCCTCTTTCCTTCTTTCCTCCTTGCTCTCTCCTTCTCCCCTGCTCTCTCATTCTACCCCGCTCTCTTCTTCTCCCTCCATCTCTCTCTCTTTCCTTCTCCCTATCTCTCTCTCTCTCTTTCCTTTTCCCTATCTCATTCTCTCTCTCTTTCCTCCTCCCTATCTCCTCCTTCCTGTCTATCTCCACTATCTTCCCTTTATTTTCCTTCCCATCCTCTCCTTCTCACTCTCATTTACTTTCCCTCCTCTCCTTACTCGTCTCTCTCCTATTCCTTGTTTTATTCCTCTCCTATCTCTCTCCTTCTCCCTCTCCCTCTATCTCTCTTTTTCTCCCTCTATCTCTCTCCTTCTCCTTCTCCCTCTCCCTCTATCTTTCTCCTTCTCCCTCTCCCTCTATCTCTCTCATTTACTTTCCCTCCTCTCTATCCTTCTCCCCACCTATGGCTCTTTTCACCCCAGTCCTATCTTCCTCTTCCTCCTTCTCCTATCTCAGTTCTCTCTGTCTCTCCCTTCCTTTCAGTCTCCCTCTCCCTCCCTCCTTCTGTCTTTCTTGTCTTCTTCCTCTGACTAAACAAGAGGTAGTAGCAGCAATAAGATTGAAAAACTAGCATTCTAAGGGAGACATTTATTAAAAAAAGGTTTATTCCTGGTACGGGAATTGATTTGCTGGCATTTGCTCTACTATTATATAATCTGGCTGCTCTGGGGGGCAAATGGCAACATATGTAAATAAGGATATTAAGCTAAAATTTTCGTGTGTGGAGTGTGAATGTGCCAAAAATGTGGACCGAGCAGGATCGAGCATGGTGGGCCTCCACAGGGAATTATTCCGAAGTATATATAACAATGGCTAATGGCTACCATGCTGCTTAGATCCAATCCAAACATCTCCTTCTTTCACTGTACCTGTTGTAGACAGATATCTGAAATGGGATGCAGCTACAAACAGGTAAACTTGTGCTAGCATGAGATACACTGGCAGTAGAGATTAGAGGTATTAAAGTCACAACTGCTTCTTTGGCAGACATAACACTTTAAATATATCTGTATCTGATCTGTTTTTTTGCTGTTTGCCTGAAAATCTAGGCATTTCTGCCTGACAGCGCAGTCAGGTCTTGACCTCACTTTAACGAAGTTAAAGTTTATCTCTGGCCAAAAATGTTGTATTTCTATATTGAATTTCTATAAGTTCTATCCCATTCCTAATTGCCATATCCCTCTAGAGGTTTGTAAACGTACTTATTAAAGATGCCCATAGTACGTACTACCTCAATGCACTGACACAAATTCACTCAGCCCTGTGATCATGCACTTTCTGGGGTCACAACTCTCACAGAACCTTCCATCTGAACCATAACTCATTGTCTGAACAATGTAACATTATCACTGCTTGCTGGAACCAATGCATGATGCGATATGTAGTCATGAAAAATCGATATTGCATCACATCAAGCAGCAGGGAACTCTTTCAAAGAACACTGGAATCCAGGAAGTTGTTGGAAGTGATGGGCAGACAGAAGGCAGCACTCACTACATAAAAGGGATTTTTTCAAGTAAGCTTTGATTGCATTATGAAAAACAGCTCTAGTATGGATTCCTATTACAATGCTGATGTTATAAGAGGATAGTATATGCTGGAAGTTTACAACTCCTTTAATGAATACCTAGCTCAACTAAATGATGATTCACATCTGCCTGGAGTTCAAATTTAGTCCTCATTCAGCATTATATCACTTGTTTTCTGAAGCGCGACAATGCTCAACAAGAAGAATTCCATGATTTTCAATGGTGTGCATTCATGTGAGCATTGTGTTGCTTGTCACTTGTACCTAGAAAAAGTACATGAGCATTGTTATGGGCAGAATCGTAAATTTTTTGTGCCATAGTCTTCAATGGGACGTCTTAAAAGATAGCTGTTTTTCATGCGATTTTGCACCTAACAACTGTCTCTTCCTCCTACTAATAAGCTTTCCATTGGCTAACACAAAAACACACAAACCTGAAAATGCACTAAAAATCCTCTAAATCTCCAACAATGCACCAGCTATGGTGTGATTGCTGGAACTCAGCAATTTATTTAATTTTGGACAGTATGGGTGAAGGTTAGAACTCGGGATGCACCGATACTGTACTCGAGTACGAGTACTAATATCAATTTTTCAGTACTCGCTGATAGCGAATACCGATACCGGAAGTACCATTAAGGAAGCCAGGGGCAGTTAGTGAGTTGCTGCCCGGCTTCCTGATTAGCAGGGAAGCCGGCTCCATGCTCCCTTATCACCAGGTGATGAGGAAGCATGGAAATGGCTCTCTGGCCAATCAGGAAGCCAGGGGGTGGGTAATGACTCACCACCCGGCTTCCTGATTGGCCAGCTTTCCGACCAATCAGGAATCCGGGAGGCAAGTCACGCTGCCCGGCTCCCTGATTGGCTGGGAAGCCAGCTTCTAGCCTCCAGTGACGGGGGAGCATGGAGCCGGCTTCCCGGCCATTCAGGAAGCCGGGGGGCGAGTCAGTACACACCTCCAGGTTCCTAATTGGCTGGGAAGCCAGCTCCATGCTTTCAATCAGGAAGCCAGGGGGCAGGTAATGACTCGACGTCCGGCTTCCTGACACCAGAAGTACCGGTATCAGGATAAGTATCGGGAGCATTTGGCCGACCACGAGTACTCGCCCAAATACTCGGTATCAGCACCAATACTGTTACTAGTATGGATATCAGGGCATCCCTAATTAGAACCAATATGGATTTTTACCGTCACTTGCCCAGTGTGTGGCACCAGGACAGAAAGTGAACCGACTCTCTCTAAAGGACACCCAGACAAGAAAAAAAAGCTCCTATCAGGTTATTACTTTTTGGGGTTGATGTACTAAAGGAATAAAAAATGACCACTTTGTAAGGTGACTCTTCAATGAGCTTGTGTCCATGAATACCCAATCACTTACAAAACTTTTTTGTTCTTGCACAATA